TCCCCTTCCGGGGTAAGAACGCTACAACACTCACTCCCCTTGCAGGGAAGGAAGACTGCCGCCTACTTTGCTTACCAGCTTCCTGTATTACTCAACTACACATGGAGCCGCCAGCCTTTGCCTGTATACCTGGCTGCTCCAGGTCCTGCTGCCCTTACTGCCGTGCTTCCACATGTGCCAGGCGCACACAACAACACTACAACATGCGGCTCGGGAGGAACATTCTCCCGCCTCTTTTCTGTGTCCCGCCGGCTCTCTGTCTGAAGTGTATAAGTACACCTGTAGCTCACCAAATCACTGATAGTCTACAGACTGCAGGCTCTCAAGACACAAGCGGCCAGAAAGGAGACTCCTCCTCTCGGCATTCTACACCATGGGTGACCTTACAGAGGACGTTTATCGACTCATCGTTGTGTTATTGCAGAATTCTCAGTATTCTTTCCCGTTACTGTTCTATAACGAACTTCTTACGCAGTAAATATTCCAGAGTAAGATGCCCTTAGGAAAACTCCAGATAATGGTGCTTTATTTGAACAAAATCTCATTAGATAAAATGACCGTAAAGTGTATTGCTGTTATTACAACTGTATTCCAAAAAGTGTAATAAATCATTTAAATGTTTATGAAATGTTTTGATATTCCTCTCTCTGACATTTTCTCTCTATGATACAGTTAGCAAATTGGTCTCATAATCATTGTTTTGGGAAGTAATGCAAGACCAGTAATTGTGTGTTTTGCGGTTTCCCTCTCAGGCTGGTATAACAGGCTGTACATCAACTTCACTCTGCGGCGCCACATCTTCTTCTTCCTGCTCCAGACCTACTTCCCGGCCACTCTGATGGTCATGCTGTCCTGGGTGTCCTTCTGGATCGACCGCAGGGCCGTACCAGCTCGAGTCTCATTGGGTGAGAAGGTCACACGTCACCACGATGAGTTTCGTTGTAGGGACCCTGAACGAGCCAAATGGCTGCAGAAACCTATTATGTAGCAATATTAGTCCATGCTACCCATCACGGGAGGTCAGATGACAAGAGCCTTTCATTCAATATTTCCTTCTTTATGCTAACTTCCAGCCTACAATCTGTCATTACCAGAACTGTGCTGCTTGGCACAACAGAGCAAGGATGGACAAACTACAAACAGCATTATTTCATATTTTAATCCCACTGCATATTTGCTGCTCAGATGTATTCTATTCCTTTCCTCTTTTGTTATAAATGCTCTGTCTCGTATTGTTTCACTTTATATGTAGAGTTCTGTATAATGTTTGGTAGCATAGCAGTGGTTAGCGTTGCTGCCTTGCAGTGCTGGGCCTTGGTTTCAGTTCCAGCCTAGGTAACTGGAGTCCAAACGTGGGCGTGCTCTCCCCATGTTTCTGTGGGTTTCCTCCCACAGTACAAAGACATGCAAGTGGGTTAAGGGGCTTCTGGGAAATCCGGACTTGCTGTGACTGTGTGCGTGTTGTTTGTGTCGATGTTTGTGTGTGTGTGTGCCCTGTGATAGACTTGTGTCTTGTCCAGGATGAACCCTGCCTTGGGCATGCTGTTTGCAGGGACTCCTCTATGACCCAGAAATGGAGAAACTGTAGAAAAAAGTGGATACATTGTAGAAAATGGATGGATGCAGAATTTTACATCCTAAATATTTTTTACCACACTACTTGATGTAATTTTTGTTCTTAACACCTTTTTTGCGTTTCTCTTGTGCTCCTGATCTGCATCGTTGCAGGAGAACGTACGCTGAGCCCAGAAAGTGAACATTTCACGAGCACAAGCAGTTTTCACTCGTCTGACAAAACACAGAACTCCTTTCATTCTCCCATCACTGGGTGAACTTACCATAGTAGTGCCTAAGAGGAAAACTAGAAAGGATTCGCTTCGTACACAATAAACGTAACTGGAATATGTCAGTGTTTTACAGGATGTTGTGGACGATGAGTTTCAAAGTAGGATTACTCTCTTAACACGCTTACCTTTTCTCAAGACATACAGCCATAATACAATTATAGAAATCAAGTAGGCAGCTGCGTCAGCATGCGTAGGCTGCAGAGGAACAAGTAAAGGTTTATGCCACGCTGAAAAGAAAAGAAAAGAAACAACGTTTCGGCTTGTTCCATTATAGAAATCAGTCATCTTTCATAACCAGGCAGCAGCCGGAGCCCCGGGGCCCCGTGTTAACGAGGGTGCTCTCTGGCTGTGTGACAGGTATCACCACGGTGCTCACCATGTCCACCATCATCACCGGAGTCAACGCCTCCATGCCCAGGGTCTCCTACATCAAGGCGGTGGACATCTACCTCTGGGTCAGCTTCGTCTTCGTGTTCCTGTCGGTGCTGGAGTACGCCGCCGTCAACTACCTGACCACCGTGCAGGAGAGGAAGGAGAGAAAGCTCCGAGAAAAAGTGAGAATACTGGGAGGTTGCAACACAAGACTGTTACAGCCGCCATCATATGGATTCTGTCTGGATGTCAGACCTAATCCTGGTGGTGTGTAGAAGTGATGCAGTCAGCGTTTGCTCCATCATTCAAACTGTTTCATCAGCATAGGTCAGGCAGGAGGAGGTAGGTGCTGAAGTAATGTAAAAACAGTAACTAACAACTCAATTCTAGATTACAGATGTGAATAGTAAATAGACATCCTGCATAAAAGACTGTAGAATATTTGCCTCACTGCTGGTATAGCTGGTACTGCTTTTTATTATATTGTCAGGCAAAGGTGCAGCGTGTGTCTTCCAAATATACTTTAGAAACATAAAAAAGGAACTTGTCCGATACTGAATTTGTTTCCATTTCTTCAGGGCTTGCCCTACTCATGTTTAAAGGCCAAACCCATGTACAGTACACCGAGGGAAAAAAAAGAACACAAAAAAATCAGAAACATTAAAAAAAACATGTGGAAAAGAGTGAACACAAAACTCCGCGTACATAGAGTCAAAATGTCAGCCTCCCAATGAGATCACTTTATTGGCCATCTACAATTTCTTGTATGAGGAATTTGTCTTTACGCAGACCCCAGCTTGCTCTCCATGAGACACACAGACAGGGAGAGAAGCTTGGGGTTAGAGTGCAGGGTCAGCCATTTATACAGCGGCCCTAGAGCAGCTGGGGTTAAGGGCCTTGCTCAGGGGCCCAACAGAGTAGGATTCCTCTTCCGGCCGCGGGATACGAACCGACAACCTTCCAGCCACAGGCGCAGATCCCGAGCCACAGAGCCACCCCTCCGCCAGGATGGGTCACAGCCGCTGTGTCTTCCCTCTCTCCCGCAGTCCCTGCCCTGTACCTGCGGGATGTCCCACACCCGCACCATGATGCTCGACGGGACCTACAGCGAGGCCGACGCCAACAGCCTGGCGGGCTACACCAGGACCGCCGTGGCGCCCGAGGAGCCGGAGAAGCAGGAGCGCATGGTGGTCCACCTGTCCATGAGCAGCGAGTCCACGGCGGCCAAGAAGAAGGGGATCAGGGGACTGCGGATCATGCAGAACACGCACGCCATCGACAAGTACTCCAGGATGATTTTCCCTGGCGCCTACATTTTTTTTAACTTGATATACTGGTCCGTCTACTGCTGATCTTCCAGGGCGGGATCCCGCCGGACGTCTGTTTCCAGCCGGCACGGCGGCGCCAGCGGGATCCTGACGAGGGAGGGACAGGGGGGCAGACCGCCGCGCGCGCTCCAGACCGGCGGGCGTTGGGGTGTCTTTTTTGTCTGGCATGTTCCGTCTCGAAAGTCAAAGATTTCTCGTACCTCCGGCTTTTAACCGACTCCAGCTTTATCACGATCCTCGTTACTTACCGTATCTGCCCTGTGACCTTCAAAAACAACATTGTGCTTCAACAAGTAAGACATCCCAGCTGCCAGACAAGGGAACTGCGGAGACCGATGGATACGGACACAAGAATCAGTCAACAATGCCAGATAAATCCCAGTTGTTGAAGATTGCAGTCGGCTGCCCACTTCTGTCGACACAAGACTGAAATAACAATATTGAAAGATTTTTTCAAATGTGATTGCAAAAGCTCCACAATGGTTTTATGCAATTTTGCCACGCGTTTACAGCTACAACTGGAACACGTAAAGGTTTATTCCCTGCTGAAAAGAGAAGAACAGAAACAACGTTTCAGCTGTGGAGCCTTCTTCGGGTGTTATGAGTTATGAGTCAAAATCTGGGTGAGCCCCACCTGAGTTTGTTTGACAAGTTCTTTCTTTATATACTGTACATATATGTGTGTATGTAAACGTGTATATATTTGTTAAATATACACATAAACATTCCTCTATTTTCTAACTGCTTCTTTCAGTTCAGGGTTGCTCAGGGCCAGAGGCTATCCTGGAAAGCAATGGGCACAAGGCAGAGACGCCAGTCCATCGCAGGGCACACACACTCATACCAGGCCCAGTGTTCCCGGAAACCAATTCAGCTTCCAATAGGTTTTTGGACTGTGGGAGAAAACCAGACCACCAGGAGGAAAACCACACGAACACAGGAAGAAAATACCAACTCTACACATAGGTTAGCACCCCAGCTCAGGACTGCAAGGCAGTGATGGGATCAGCTGCACCATGAAATAGAGCTGACATCGAAGGTATTTCTGAAGGGAGGAAAATCTTTCATTCTGGTAGCACACTAGTAGGCTCATTATAATTTACCTGCTCAGAGGAAGGATGATGGGTGTATACTATAAAACATTATGCGCGTTCCATTATTGTTTATATTATTAAAAACACAACAAGAAGACTCATCAGGATCTACATAGTAAAACTGGATAGAAAACACTAAAAATATTCTAAATGCATCTATGGATAATAAACAGCTTTGCCTCAATTACTTTTCTCGAAGATTAACATTCAGGCTGTCGCTGTTTTTAAATTGTTTCACTCACTGTGTATTCTTCTGAAGAATATGGCTCATGAATATTTAACATGATCATGGTTTAATGAAATTCCCTATGCCTATGCCACACACCCCTTCAGGGACTGCACTGGGTGTTTGTGAGCACTTCCCTGACTGCAGTTTTATTTTCCCATTATGAGTCTGAAGATAAGTCTAACAAAAAAAGAAAAAGAAGCCTCAGGCAGCTGAGCCAATTCATGAGATGTAAGACCAATGCAATAAAATAGAGAGAAAAACATAAACCAAGCTGTTTTTAGGTGCTTCAATAAACAAAAGAAAACTCCTACAATCTGTGAGGAGAATATTGTCTTCAAGCCTTAAACGGTAATTCAAAGTAAAAGGAGTCTGCTGTCACAATTATGACCTACCGACAGCAGCAATGTGGCTATGAGTATGATGTTCATTAAGTCTTTATTTTATAAAAGTAACTTGCAGAAAACAAACTCGCTTCAATTGCAAATACTGTACATCACTGGAACCGTTGATAGGACTGATATTGTTAGTGTCACGAAGCGTTCTTCCAGGACCCTATGCAGACAACACAGTCCGGGGGGGAGTGAAGAAAACACGGGGAAAGAGGCATGCAAGGGGCTGGAAGGAGAACAGGAGGCGTGTCCACGGTGCGCTGGTGTTCGGGGGAGGAGTGGCCGAGGCAAACAGTCCAAGGGAGTCCGAGGCAAATCCAGGAGTGTAGCAAATGTCCAAGACCGGGTGATCCATCCTGACAGACAAAGTTAAAAGCCGGAGCGGGATCTGGTGGAGGGATGGGGGAATAAAAAAGGGGTAACGGGACCAGACGCTCCCTGATCCCGGACCCAGATGGTCAGGACGCCGTTGTGAAGCCGATGCCGTCGAGTCGCTCCTGGACTCGTGGGTAGGTGGGCTTCCGGGCGTCCATCTTCCAAAGCTGAGCCCCGATAGGCATGGCTTATATAGCGCAGGGGGCTGGAACCGGAGGCAGGTGCAGGAGATGAGTATAAACAAGGTAGGGCTGGAGTGTCTTTAAGAGGAGGGGTTTACGATCGTGACAGTGATTAAAGTAATACTGTATCCTGGAAAAGAATGAAAATACACTATCAGGCACTGCTGGCATAAATTGTCATACTACTTGTGCAGTACTTTTGTTGTCTTCTGTATCCGCAGACCTTGTGGTGTACACACTCTTGTCCATATTGTTTTCAGTTGCCCTCCAGTGTTGAGAAATAACCTAGGCAGTAAAATCAGAAACTCCCTTTCAAAAACTTGCGGTCGAGGCGTTTAAAAAAAAAAAGAAGAAGACATGTACCTTCAGTTTAAATATCCAAGCTATAACATCTGGGAAATAGTGACTTTGCCTGCACGCCGTTCCATTGCCTTCCAGCCTCTGTGTTATCAGAAACACACCACAGATCCCCACTCTAATTCACTTCAGACTTCAAAGTCTGACTCGATTGCCATTTGTGATGAGACCCTTCAAAATACCCACTCACCTTACAACAACAAACAAACTACAGTGTTTTCTTTTAGACTCTTCTAGTTTTAACAGGCTAAAGGTTTGCCACTTCGGCCCTGTTAACCAATGCCCTGCGCGTTCAGATCTGAAAACGAGCCGCAGTCATTTGAAAGGCACTTCATGACCAATAACATAGCCTGAGAACTCGATGTATCTGAGGCTGTTCATCGAGTATTTTCGGTTTAGTGAGATTTGGCTTAACCCACACATCTGTGGGTTTAATAATAAATTGTTATTCTTGTTTAATAATAATAATAATAATAATAATAATAATAATAATAATAATAATAATATTATTATTATTTTATTATTATCTGAGGACCAGGCCCCTGGTCGTAGAACAAGGAGGCTCAGATCCCCCTTGCAGAGGGAGGAGTAGAAGCAGAGGTGGAGGGATGGGAAAACAGAGCTTCACGCGCGATACACAACTTTCAGGAAATGACATCAGGAACAGCTGAGGCAGGAGTCACTGGTCAATGCTCTCACTCCTGACCGTCAGTGAAGAACTTCCTGTTACGGAGCGTCAGGAAGAACCCTGTGCAGGTCAGTTCCGTAGATGAAAACGAACAAATCCGAAGGGGCCAGACGAAGACGAAGACGAAGTCGTGAGGCAAGCAGTGTTAGGATCCAGAGCAGTAGAAGGGGTTATTCACTGAAGGTCTCAGGAGGTGGAGGAGGAGCTCAGGAAAACAGCAGGCTGTCCAATACCGAGCAGTGAAGTGCGGGTTGAAGAGGGATTAAATAGAGAGTCATGTGCGGAATGTTGATCGGTAATTAACGAGGTCCGGCTGTGCCCGTAACACTTCCATAATGCAGCCTCATCTTTCTGTTGATGAGGAGCGGCGTGGTAACGCATATTTTTATTCAACCCAGAAGAAAATCTACAGTCCTGAGACTATCTTCCAGGGTGACGTACTTCGGTCTGATCCAGATTTCCAGAACGACATAATCCTCTACAATCAACAAATCATATTAAGTGCTTTGCGCCGCCAGCACTCGAGTCCGCATCCTGTCAACGTTTATTTGGAGAATCCAGCCGGGCAGAGGTCTTACATAAGACATTCAGGGAATTCTCAGGGCCACTGTTTGTGCTGAGTCATCATACACAAAAACAACTTGCCACAGGTCGAGTCATGTGTTTTCCAAGGGACTTCCAGTTCATGGATGACAGAAGCTATCAATGAAAGCAAAGAGTATGTTGTTTTAGGTCATTACTGTATATAAAGGATTGATTTCTGCTGGTCACAAAAACAAGCAAAGTTACAGTTCATTATTTTCAAAAAATTCATTGAGGGGAGTTTGGATGTCCAGTATGTCTTCAGGTGCCCTTTTTTCCTTACCTTTGCTGGAAAATACCACTCAGAAAGCAAAGGAACTGGCATCAGAATAATAATAATAATATAATAATAATAAACTTTATTTTATATAGCGCCTTTTAGAGGTGGCTTCTCAAAGCGCTTTACAGGATGACAATAACAATAAATAAGAAGAGTATAACAATAAATATGGAGAATACACAAGATAAGACACAATTACAATATATAGAGGAGACCGTGAATGGTGGTACTAAGAAGAGCAGAGGGGTGAAGAATGGAACCAGTTAAGTAAAGGCTTTTCTGAAGAAGAGGGTTTTGAGTCTGGATTTGAAGGAGTTTAGAGAAGGTGACTCTCTGATATCCTTGGGCAAAGAGTTCCTGAGCTTGGGGCCATAACAGGAGAAGGCCCTGTCACCCATACAATGGAGTTGGGGGACAGTAAGGAGACCAGAATTAGAAGAGCGAAGGTTGCGAGGTGGGGAGTAGGGCGATAATAGTTCAGACAGGTACTGAGGTGCCAAGGCCATGCAGAGCCTTATAGGTGAATACATTTGTGAATGAGATGTAGCCCACACATTGCACATTGCTGCTGTCAACAAAAACATTTTTTCTTAGTTATCTCGTAATAACAAGAAAATTATCTCATAATTGCCAGATAGCAGACTATATCGGAATAATGAGATAGCACATTCTTGCGTACTGTGTGTGATCATCACACGACACCACAATTGCCATGCAATTCCTACATTATCATTAGCTGACTTTCAATTTGAAATCGTTTGCATGTTACACTCATTCTTGTTTAACAATACACGTGACTGTCCTCATGGTTATAACGATTGTGTTCACAAATTGAAACACGTCATAATGACTAAACCCAGGTGGAAAGTATGACCGTGCACATTCTGAGCGCTGGACACGGTCACGAACACAGCCAAAGATGAGCCAAAGCTTTTCCACAGTCAGAGCCGAGCCCGGAAGCTTCCAGGTGTCGTCATTGCACAATGCAACCAGTTGTTCGTACACTCAAATTATCATCGGTATCTCGTATTTCCAAGATAATTTACTCGCTATTACGAGATAACTGAAGAAATATTTTGTTGATGGAAGCAACGCTCTTCCATAGTAATCACACACTTTTCTGAAATTGTAATTCAAGTAAAAAATAAGGTCACGGACGTTTCAATTCATTACAACAGACTAGCTCTACTAGTTCAGAGATTTGCTTCAGCAATTTGACAACAGTCTGAAGCGACCCTGAAACCATCATTGATCTGCTGTAATTGCTCCTCTGTTGCATAAAGCTGTATAATGTCTTTCACGGAAGGATCTGTTACACTATCAGAGCGCAATCAAACCGCTCTTCTGAGTAAATCCAGTTAGGAAGTTGGCATCCCTTTAACATTCCCTGGCTGTCTCTCTGACCCACTTCTGTAGCCCGTATGAAGAGAGAGTCCAGAAATTCAGATATCAGGCAGGCCTGGGTTAAGGGTCGTTTTTATTTCCACATTTTTGCATTTTCTCTCATAAACAGCTGGTATCTGGTTTCTGATTGTATCCCTCATCTTTTCATTTCTGTTTCTGAAAAGTGGAATTTAGACCCCACATAATTAAGAGTGGCATCCTCCCTGTGAGTTAGTGTACAACACACACAGCACACAGCAGGGGCACCAGGGTGGCAGTGTTGTCTGATTTAATGTAACGTCTCTATTGATGTCGTTGCTCATTTATCTTATTTAAAATTACATGTAACATACCAACAGTGTTGCAAAATAGATCTTGTAGATCTATTGCCAGAAAAGAGGCCGCTTGTAAACAGTTTCCACAGCATGGAAATAATGTGTTGAGAACTGAGCAAACACAATTTATGCCAGAGACAGGACTCCATGATAAACTTGTAATGGGCTTGTTTTAACCCTCATGCTCACAACGGGAGGACTTTTTCAACCCACCAACTATTCTAAGAGTCATGAAAACAGAATGTTGTATTTTTTTTAATTCCTCGGTATAGAAAGTCAGATAGGAAATTAATTCTGAACAAATTGGCATGGACTCAAAGTATGAAAACCTGCTGAAACTGATTTTACATTGCGAGCCATCAAGTTAGTAGATGATACAACAAGTATAAAGATAATTGTGAGAAAGATTGTTTACTTTATAACGAGGCAATAGAAGTAACCTTTGAGTCAATACTTAAATATAAATGCCTTCACAGATCATAATAAATACTGATGTTGAAGTGCGATGGAAAATTCAGCGAAGCTGGGATTTATCTTGTGGTGCAATTTTATGATGTAAACCAGAGGCTTAAAATGCTTGTCTCAAGACTGTGATGATATTTCAAAATAAATTACAACTGCTTTTGAGTAGTAGTTTCCAAAAGTACAACTACAAGTAGCAAATAACTGTGAATGTGATAGTAGTTTTACAAGAGACATACAAAAGACCACCTCCACTTGTGCAAATGGATTTGTATTGACCCTGGTGAAGATGATGGTAAACGCCATAAGAGCTCTACAATACCAGAGAAAAAATGAATTATATACTGTTT